CAGCCACAGCGACCCAGCCGCCGCCCGAGCCGCCTGATGCCGGAGAGACGCCCGAGGCCGCGGGGGCGAGGACCCGGGTAACCCTCCGCCCCCACCCCGGTCCAGACCACTGGCGCTTGAGATGCGTCGTCCGGCTCCCCCTTAATGGCATCGCCCAGCGTCTCTGAAACCATCAGCCTGAAGAATGGGGTAGAGGGCCTCGGCGCCCCGCCCTTCTCAGCTCCGCGGTCAGGCCAGGTTCTCTCCATCTGGCATATCTGTCCCCTGTCCCCTGATCTCTGTTCCCTGACCCTCACCTCATAGGATTCTGGGCACAGAGCCGACAGCAGCCCCCCTCCTCTTCTCCCTGAATCACCGTGTCCATCTGTCTATCTGCAATAAACTCCAGCACCACCTGCCTCTCGTGCTGTGTTGTGTTTTTTGGAGAGGGGCCTTCAAAGTTTGTGAGCGGAAGTCCTTTCTAGGGTCTGACCTTTGTCTCTGGTTAGGCGGTGTAGTCTTTCCCCCTTCCTTAGAGTAGTGCTTCTCTTCCTCCTTTGCTCCCATGTAGGTTTTTGGTTGGTGTGGGGAGAAGAGACTTATCTGCAGTAGGACAGTTGAAGGTCAGACAGTGTGAAGGACTTCCCAGTTGTGGCATGCTTGGGGTAGAGGACAAGAGCCTTTCTGGAGAGAAACCCCACCTCTCCTCCCTTCTCTAACAGCACAGGAGACGGGAGGAGAGGTGGGGTTCTGGGAGTTGCTGTTGTTTTAATTACGATGACCAGGACCGAGGCTAAGTCACTCTGACCTCTCAGGATGCTGTTGTGGGGTGCCATTGAGTCGATTCCCACTCATAGTGATCGTATATAATAGAGTACAACTTCCCCATAGGGTTTTCTAGGATGTAGTCCTTATTGGAGGAGATGTCCAAGTGTTTCTCCTTCGGAGTGGCTGGGTGGGTTCGAATCTTTTTGGTTAGCAGCTGAGCGCTTAACCATTGCACCTCCAGGACTCCTTCTCAGGATGCTACTGGGAGGGAAAGATTTCGTCCCTTCTTCCTGGGGTCAGAGGGATGATAGTGGTGGTGGGGCTGCTCTGCCCCCTCAAAACCACAGAGGAAGTAATTAAAGCCCGGTGCTGCCTTTGAAGATTCCTACACCCCCTGGGACAGCAGTGCTGCTGGGAAACCAAGGTTGGGAAACTCGGGTCTGGTTCCTGCTGAAGGAGTCAGAGGTGGTTGGTGCCTTTTCCCACCTGGAGACTGAGGCTTGGCTCTGGGCAGGGCCTGGGGCCTGGCACATGGGAAGCTGGTTTTCTGTCCAGCCGTCCCCCTTGAAATGGAGACTTTCCCAGGAGAGTGAAGCTGAGCCTCCTGCCTCAGACTGGGACTCTTGCGGATATGGTCAGGGCTGGGAATGTTGGTGACTCAGCTTACCTCCCCTCCCATCCTCTACTCCCTCACCACTGCCCTCTCTATACCCAGAGGGAGTAGGTATACGAGACTAAAGGAAAACTCAAGAAGCCAGTACCTTTTTACAGTCAACATAGGGTAGTGGTTAGGGGCACTGATTTTGGGGCCAAACTGCCCAGGGTCACATCTCAGCTCTTCCTCTCAGCCGTGTGACTCTGGGCAGGCTATCTCTCTCACACTGTAAAATGAAGATGGTAATAGTACTTAATAGAGTTCCTCTGGGGATTAAATAGTGATCTGAAGCCCTTAGAACAGTATCACATGTTCTCTTTCTCCGTCCCTCTCCATCCCTCAGAGCTTTAAAAAGCAGAGCTTGGATCCTGAGGGGTAAGTCAGCTCAGAGCCCTGAACCCCAGCAAATGGTGAGTAACAGGGAGGGACCTCTTCCTTTCTGTTCGCACTAGTCCCCCTCTTTCTGTTTTCCAGCTTTCTTCTTCCAGCCCTGTGTTTCCATGACCTCCCTCTCTCCGTGTCTCTGTGTCTCCCTCTCCACCTTCACTTCTCTCCCCTTATTTCCTTTCTGTCTGTGTCTGTCTCTCTGTTGCTGTCTCTGAATCTTTGTGTCTGTGTCTCTCCCTGATGTTTCTCAATATTCTTTCTGTCAATCTTTTTGTCTCTGTGTCTCTCTCAAATGTCTCTCAGTATTGTCTCTGTCTCTCAATCTTTGTGTCTCTGTGTCTCTCTCTGATGTCTCTCAGTATTGTCTCTCTCAATCTTTGTGTCTCTCCCTGATGTCTCTCAGTATTATCTCTGTCTCTCAGTCTTTGTGTCTCTGTGTCTCTCTGATGTTTCTCAGCATTGTCTTTCAATCTGTGTCTCTCCTTGATGTCTCTCAGTATTGTCTGTCTCTCAATCTTTATGTCTCTGTGTCTCTCCTTGATGTCTCTCAGGATTGTCTGTCTCTCAATCTTTATGTCTCTGTGTCTCTTCTTGATGTCTCTCAATATCGTCTCTGTCTCTCAATCCTTGTGTCTTTATGTCTCTCCCTAAGTCTCTCAGTATTGTCTTTCTGTCTCTCAATCTCTGTGTCTCTCCCTGATGTCTCTCAGTATTGTCTCTCTGCCTCTGTCTCTCACTCTGTACCTGTCTTACTCTCTGTCTTGGCTCTGTTGCTCTCTCCACCTGCCCCACGCTTCTTTTGTTTCTTCTCTCCCCACCTCCCCTCAACACCTCCTCCCCACCTTGCTCTCCCTTTCCTGCCCCACCTTCATTCTCCGTCTCTCCCCTGGTCTCCGTCTACCACCCGCTCCCCCATCTCCTCCCCTTTCTCCATCTCTCTCCTCTCTCCTGTTTCTCCCTGTCTCTTCTGGTTGCTATCTCTTAATCTTTCAGTTAACACATATTTGTTGGGCACCTACCGTGTGCCAGATCATATTTTAAGCACTGAGGATACAGCAGTGAACAAAACAGGTAAAAATCCCTGCCCTCTATGGAGCTGACATATTAGTGGGGAGACAGACAAAAGATATGCTTAATACATTAAAAACGTTATGTCAGATTGAAGGAGCCCTGGTGGCACAAGGGTTAAATGCTTGGCTGCTAACTGGAAAGTTGGCTGTTCAAATCCACCCAGTGGCTCTGCAGGAGAGACACCTGGCAATCTGCTTCCATAAATATTGCAGCCAGTAAATAATCAGGCTATGAGTCAGAACCAACTCAACAGCATTCGACAACAACAACATATAAGACCAAACGGGTATTTTAAAGCATATATGAGAAGGTTAAGGAGCAGGGAGATTAAGTAAATGGAAGTGAAACAAC